CTCTCTCTCTCTCTCTCTCTCTCTCTCTCTCTCTCTCTCTCTCTCTCTCTCTCTCTCTCTCTCTCTCTGCTGTGGCCTGCAACTTGCCTCTCTTTCCACCATCCCCTCACTCTCCTTTCTCACGTGTACATGTTTGTGCTTGGTGTGGGAAATCGCAAATTGGCTGGGCAGAGGCACGGTGGGCAACTGTCAAAATCTTCGGAGCGCAGTGCTGGCTGCTCTTCGTACCCACTGATGTGTGGCTCATTGTTTCAGGGTTATCTGGCCATGCCCTTTTTTTAAAAGAGTCCAATGGAGTATCCATTTCGCGTTTCCACTTCTGGTTTTATTTCCACCTTTTGTGTGCTCTTCTGCGGCGTGGAGCAGCTCTGCTGCGTGACCCCTGTGCTGTCAGGCCGTCTGGTGGTCTGATTGTTCACACCTTAGTTATCTACCCTCGACCATCTAGCCGCAGATTGTCCGGTCTGAATGACGATGGACCCCCATGAGGCCTGGGCCCATTTGGAACTCAAGCAGGTCAGAAAAGGCGGGAGATGGATGGTGAGGGGACAAATTTGAAATTTCGCAGCCTGGGCCCTGGGGTCAGTATGTGTATTTTGTGATTTTGCACTCGTGAATTTGTCCCTGAATCCGTGCAAAAAACAGACAGATGGGGCCCAGGGCCTTGCTAAGTGGGTTCAGAAAAGGGTGACGCTTTGAACGCGGGCTTGCGCTTGATGGGCGGGTGCGAAGTAGGGGCGGCGGTTTGGGCAGCGGGGACACCGAGGGTTGTCTGGTGGGATGGGGTGGGCAGAAGGAGAGGGTGGGGGGTCTGAATGAGTAGAGAGGGCAAGTGAAGGGAAGGTTGTAGAAAATTTGTCCTCCTTAACACTCTTAAAGCGTGTAAAGGGTCTCGCGTGACGCTCCCAGTGAGACCCACTTGCCAGTGTTGGGAAAGGCGGCGGGGCAAGGGTCAGGCCCACGGGACACCTGTGTGACTGTGTCCTTTTTTTATCTTTTTTTGTCGTTTTGTGGGCGTTTTGGACTCAGGGCCTCGCTGCACTACTCAGAGACTGAATCTACCGCTGGAGTACGGAGAAATACGTTGCTTATCGTTTTTTGTCGTTTTGTGGGCCCCCTCGCGTCATTTCGTTTTGGACTTAGGCCGTCGCTGCACTGCTCACGAAACTGAATCTCCCGCTAGAGTACGGAGAAATACCTTGCTTATCTTTTTTGTCGTTTTGTGGGCCAGCTCGCGTCGTTTCGTTTTGGACTTAGGGCCTCGCTGCACTACTCACGAGACTGAATCTACCGCTAGAGTGCGGAGAAATACATTGCCATGTTTTGTCTTTTGCGCACGTAGATCCACGGCCCGCGCGGTTGTTTTTCTGCGTCGTGAAAGGGCGGTGGGGACGAACGGGATGAGTCGGAG